CAAGTCTATTGCCAGAGGACCCCACAGATCCCAAATGTGCTGGAAGACTTGGGGATCGAGGTGCCAATCGCTGGAATCCCGTAGATGGCGGGAGTACCAATCCGCCGTAGTGTTGGATAACCCGGGTAAGAATTCTGCCCTGACGGCCATGTTGTGTTGCAGACAAAACTGCCAAAAGTCCCTCGCCAAATTCGCCAGGATTTTGGATCTCGTGCCACCGAGGTGGTTGATATACCGGACAGCCGATACGTTGTCCATCTTCAGTAAGATTGAGCATTGGGACAGTGTCGGGGAGAGGCTGCGAATTGCAAAGGACCCTGCAAGGAGTTCCAGGCAATTTATATGCAGTGTTGACTCCGCCTCCGACCAGCGTCCGCCTGTGGAAATATCTCCGCAGCGCGCACCCCAACCATAAGAGCTCGCGTCCGACTCTATTACTACATCTGGGGCCGAGCCGAAGATGGCTTTGCCATTCCACGCCTCCATGTGTATGAGCCACCAGCGGAGTTCTTCTTTCGCCTCTGCGTTTAGAGTCAGAGTATCCTCGTATGAGGCGCCGTCTCTCAGGTATGACGCCTGTAGGCGTTGGAGGGCTCTGTAATGAAGGGGACCCGGGAATATGGCCTGTATGGAGGCTGCTAGGAGCCCGATCACGCGGGCCAGATGTTTGAGAGATATATGTGGACAGGTAAGAACTCGTCTTATCTCTTTCTTGATATTTTTCATTTTGGATGTTGGTAAATACAAGGTTTGCATAACTGAGTCCACCAAGAGACCTAGGAATTCTATTTGTTGAGTGGGGGCTAGGGTGGACTTTTCCCAATTTATGATGAATCCCAAATTCTGCAACAAGGTTGTGGTCCAACCGAGGTGCATATGGAGCAGTGAGACTGACTGGGATAGCAGTAGGATGTCGTCTAAATATATGATTAGGCGTATCCCTCGACTGCGTAGGAGAGCAATCACGGGCTTCATTAGCTTGGTGAAGCACCAAGGTGCGGAAGACAGACCGAAGGGAAGGCAGCGGAACCGCCATTTCCTTCCTTGCCACGTGAATTGCAGGAAATCTTGGTGCGTCTGTGCAATGGGTACCGTGAGGTACGCGTCTCTTAGATCGAGTTTGACCATCCAGTCGGCTGGTTGGAGCAAATCTCGCAGGCAGTGAATGCCTTCCATCTTGAAGTGATGGTAATTTACGTAGGTATTTAGGTGTTTGAGATTGATAACTGGGCGGGACCCGCCCCCCTTCTTTGGGACAATAAATAGGTTGCTCACAAAACCCGGGGTATGCATCGGGATTTCTTGAATAGCTCCTTTGAGAGCCAAGTCTCGGACCTCCTCGGAGACGAGGGTCGTGTCTAGAGGGGAAAAAGCAATCTCCCTGGGTGGGGAGCGTTGGGTTGGAAGGGATATAAAGTCTATTAGGTACCCGTGGACAGCCCTGAGTATCCAGGCATCTGAGGTAATGAGAGCCCAGACATGGGAAAAATGTGTGAGTCTGCCCCCAATCGCCACTTGTGTTTGAAATTGAGAAAGGTAGCTTACCGTAAGGACGTCTTCCGGAAGGAGCGCCTCGAGTACCTCTCGACACCCATGGTCTGCCTCGTTGTGGAAAAAAGGTCGGAGCGGACCTTTGGTCAATAAAGGGGGTTCTCCCAACATAGGAGCCTCGGCTCGGGCGCGAGCCTCTGTTGACTCTGCCGGACAGACGGCCCCTTGCTCTGCCGGCCCCACCAAAAACCTTTGGGTGGAACACCCTTTTTAGATTTGATTGTGCCTTGTCTAAGGCCGTGAATGTTTGGACATAAGATCCCAGGTCTTTTACAAAAGATTCTCCAAAAAGGTACCCTTTTGCTAGGGCCCCTGGCTCAGTAATTGCCATATTTACAAGCTTTGGTTCTATTTTAATGAGAATAGATTTACGACGCTCTGTAGCCAGAGCGGTATTGGCATTGCCTATGAGGCATATCACCCTCTGAATCCAACCTCTAATAGTGAGGCGATCTAAGGCGTCATCTTGTGCCAAGGATTCCTCCACGGCTTCGAAAATTTTGGTCGCTGGACCTAAGATATCCAAGACTTTGTCTTGACAATTATAAAGCGAAAAGTCTAGACCTTTCTTAGGTTTCCAACCCGTCTTGCTTAAAAATTGTATGATCTTGGGATCGACTTGGGGTGTCTTACAGACCTCGTCTGGTATGGTGGGGCGTGGGCATTCAGCCCTCAGTTTATTACGTGTTGCCTTGTCCAGAGGCTTACGGACCCGTGAGGCGACATATTGTGCCACATGCTCAGCTGGTGACCATTCCGCAGAGCGGGGGTGACGTAAGTCATCCGGCTCAAACAGTGGTTCGCCCTGCGGGTCAAGGATTTTTCCCTGTTTAATCAATTCTGAGTTTGCGGTATTTATCTCAGTAGAGGGATTACACACCTCATCAATGTCATATTCCGAATCTAGGTCGGACAAATCGTTAGACTGATCTGAGTCTAGGGCTGGGGCACTCTCCTCATCTGAACTGAGTTCTGACTCAGTGGAATCAGGTTGGGCTTTTGCCCACTTCCAATGCCTAGCCGCTTTTGCCCGGCTAGAGGCTCTTTTGCGCGGTGGGTTAGTATTCGCGCCATCTGTGACAGGTGTTTTACTGTCCATCGTTAACTTGGAGGAGTGCTTGGTTTTTGCCGAGGCTTTGCGGCCGGGGCGTGATGGGTTGGAAATAGATGGTATCGCGACTGGCATAGCGGTCGGAGGGACCATACGTTGGGCCTGCCTTAGTGCCTGGGTAAAAGATTTTGAAATAGATGAAGACATAATGTCCATGGCAGATGCCAGGGCTTTAGAGACAGACTTGGACACAGTAGTGTCCATGATAGCCTGAATATCCTCTGATGCTGGGAAATCCAGGTCATCCCCAGAAACTATAGGGGGAAAACCCAATGCTGTCTGGGGGTCAGTTGTTGTCCCTGAGGGACCAGGTAAATCATTAGCAGATTGCATTAGTGCAGTGTAACTGACAGGCAGGATTAAACAAAGTAATTGACAGTGTTATTTGATGAATTTAATAGTAAGAATTGTAGAGCAGGGTTAAGTAACCCAGCTGAAAGTAACCAGAACACACTAAGCAGTAAGTTAAATCAGGAAAATCACTTACAGCTATTTATCAAAATAATGGAGGGGAGCAGGAGAAAAGGGAACCGTCCGCCACTAATACTGGACACCAACTCCGATCAAGGGACGGAGTGGGCGTTCCATAGTAAAAGGGCGGGAAAATGTTGGAAGAAAATGGCCGCCGCGCCGGCGGGAACCAAAAAGATGGCCGCCGCGGCTAACAAAGCGAAAGTATAAGTGAATGCCGGTGTTCGGCGGTAAGGTAACGTTGCTACACCGCCGCACGGGGAGGGAGGGGTGTAGTGCGGCTGTATGCGCGGTCAGAAGTAAATCCGACCGCGACCTACAGCCGGAACTTAAGATGGCGTTCTGACTGGGCGCGCATGCGCGGACGGGCCAGATGCCGGCGAAATTAAAGTGATAGCTGGACAAACCCACAGATCGGCCAAGTCCCTGAATATCAGGGCAGATAGAATAAGGGGGTCAAGCCATGACAGTGTAGGGTATAGGAAGATGAGGTTGTTAAGTATACTACACTTATACTTCGAAAGATTATTTAAAGGTGCAATGCAGTCAGTACCAGTAAAAGGTACCCATGAATGTAGGAGGTTAATAGAAAGAACAATTAAATACAATGAAGTACAATATCATATTGAATAGAGTAACATTAAAGGATCCCACAGTGAGAGAACTGTGAGGGGTGTACTTATCTGAGGGTAGCAGCAAAGAAAGAGGAAGTGGTCATCAATGCTCCGCCTACTATAGGAGATGGACGACACTGATTGGATGGCCATGTTACTAGGCGGACATTGTCACTATGATGTTATACCTAGTTCAAATGTTTATTTTCTTCAATAATGTATTCTTTGCTGCTGAGGGTAATAAAGAAAGAGAGCAGCATAATAGGAGCCTCCGGGTCTTTAATAAAATCCAGGATTATATAAAGGCTATATATGGCAAAGGGGAATGACAAGATACTTTAAATGACCTGACAGGGAAAACTTGCACTGATCCGGGTGAGAGTTAGATTTATTCCTTTATTTATTTTTTAAGTTTGGGATGTGTGGATGAGCATAGCAAGGGCTTCTATAGCCAAAACCAGTGTTATTTGGAAATAACACTTGGATTTTGACAGAAGTAGTCCTTTAACATACTTTTCTCGTCAACTCTCAGCCTACTATTGCTATCAAAAAGTTGGATTGCTAATGCATAAGTCCACAAGTTGTCCAAGAGAAGGACCAGATCTTAGGCGGTGGGAGAGCACCAGTTTTTTCAATCCACTCAAAAGTGGTTTAACAAAAACCAGGCACTAAAGGACTATTTACACTATTACCACTTCAATGAGCTAGTGAGGCATTGAGTTTACATTTAATCTACAAGTAGTTCGGATTGTATATTTGTTGGATACAAATTGTGTACTTCTCAAGTGATCCTCCCTTCTACATATATCACAGTTTTAATAACAAAGTGCCAAAACATGGCTATCTACAATACAAAAGTAATAAAGACGGACATAGCGCAATACTGTTGCAAAATAGGAATTATAGATATAAATGATTGCACTCACAAAAACAGTTTGATTGAAGGCATATCAGATATAATGATGTATGAACTTCAGGACTTGTGGAACATCGATATCATGCATAGGAGGAAAAAAGATAAATAATAGTGCAGAGTATCCAAGTAAAAAATGACACACTTTATTAATAAATACACTTACAAAATAGAAGTGTCAAAGTAGGCACATCAAGCTCAGATGGAGAAAAAACGAATCCCAGTGTCAGGGTCCAGTGGAGCAGGAAAGCCAAATAAACAATAAAATAAAATCAATAATAAATGAATAAAAGATATAAAATACTCTAGGCAATAAAGGACATAAGCCCTACGCGTTTCGTTCAATAATAAACTTCCTCAGGGGCATCTAACAAAATACTGCATGCATATGGACAGTATTTTGTTAGATGCCCCTGAGGAAGTTCATTATTGAACGAAACGCGTAGGGCTTATGTCCTTTATTGCCTGCATATGGACAGTATTTTGTTAGATGCCCCTGAGGAAGTTCATTATTGAACAAAACGCGTAGGGCTTATGTCCTTTATTGCCTAGAGTATTTTATATCTTTTATTCATTTATTATTGATTTTATTTTATTGTTTATTTGGCTTTCCTGCTCCACTGGACCCTGACACTGGGATTCGTTTTTCTCCATCTGAGCTTGATGTGCATACTTTGACACTTCTATTTTGTAAGTGTATTTATTAATAAAGTGTGTCATTTTTTACTTGGATACTCTGCACTATTATTTATCTTTTTTCCTCCTATGCATGATATCGATGTTCCACAAGTCCTGAAGTTCATACATCATTATATCTGATATGCCTTCAATCAAACTGTTTTTGTGAGTGCAATCATTTATATCTATAATTCCTATTTTGCAACAGTATTGCGCTATGTCCGTCTTTATTACGTTTGTATTGTAGATAGCCATGTTTTGGCACTTTGTTATTATTGTCTTGAGGATATAAGAGGAATCCTTCCATCTACAATACAGTTAATTAAGGGTAATTTGTGTGTTTTTTCACTTAATACCCACTAAGTGTGTTTTTCTATCTGCACACAGGTGAATTTATACTTTTTGTTGTATATATCACAGTTTACATTGTCATATTTCGCTTCTTATAGAATGCACTCTTGTTTGAGCACAAACTTTGATCACGTGTTCCTTAAATTTGTCATCATTCGCTTGATCAGTCATTTGCATCATGCATCTATTCATTACACAGTTCTGCAGAAATTGTGGACGCTATAGAAATAATTATACTTTTGTTTATTGTTAAAATTTAAAAAAGCGAAATAAATACAATGAAATAATAAATGAGTATAAGTAGCTTAATTGATTTAGCTGTAATCGCTTCAGATATTCAGATTCAGGATTTGCATCCATTCTTGTTAGTGATGTATGTTAATGGCTTTGCAAGGGAAATGAGATTTATTTGCTTTGTTACATTAGAAAAATCAAACAAGTAGGATTAAAGTAGACTTCTAAAAAAAAAGTGTTTCACTGTTCCTATGGGGTAGTGCTCGAGTTTAGAGCTTATTGTGTTTGATCTCAGTTTCAGGTATAACTATCAGTGATAGTACTTAAAGATTGACGATGCTTGCATTAATCTCCCTACTTCAATGTGTTACAGACCCTTCCAGCTACAGAAAGGTCAATATTTTCTTCAGTAATACATTAATGAATTTAGTACTCACCAGCTTAATCAGAAACTGAAATCTTTTAGTGAAATTGTTTCATTTCTACAGATCCTCCTAGATAAAGAGTTATTTAATATATCAAATTATTACATTAAATCACGCAGGTCTTAAATACACTCACATGGAACATTTATACTTCTATGTTGTTATAGATATTATTAACCCCTTAAGGACGGAGCCAAATGTACACGTTGTGAACGAAACAAAATGTAAACAAAACCTGGCATTTGCGCTACATGTCTGTCCAACCGTAATACACCTCTTTCATAGTAAATGCACCCACCCTTATTATATATCATTTTATTCAGGGGAAACAGGGCTTTCATTTAATATCAAATATTTAGCTATGAAACATAATTTAATATGAAAAAAATGGGAGAAAATAGATTTTTTTGATTTTTTTAGTTCTACATGACATTTTAACGGTCAGTGTCATAATACTGTTTGCTTTTACTGCAATAAAATACACATATTTGTATTCAGCAAAGTCTCACGTGTAAAACAGTACCCCCTATGTACAGGTTTTATGGCATTTTGGGAAGTTACAGGGTCAAATATAGCACGTTACATTTGAAATTGAAATTCGCCAGATTGGTTACGTTGCCTTTGGGACTGTATAGTAGCCCAGGAATGAAATTTACACCCATAATGGCATACCATTTGCAATAGTAGACAACCCAAGGTATTGCAAATGGGGTATGTCCAGTCTTTTTTAGTAGCCATTTGGTCACAAACACTGGCCAAAGTTAGCGTTAGTATCTGTTTGTGTGAAAAATGCAAAAAAACGCCAATTTTGGCCAGTGTTTGTGACTAAGTGGCTACTAAAAAAGACTGGACATACCCTGTTTGCAATACCTTGGGTTGTCTACTATTGCAAATGGTATGCCATCATAGGGGTAATTTTCATTCTTGGGCTACCATAGGGTCTCAAAGGCAACGTAACCAATCTGGCGAATTTTAATGTGAAAAAAATGAAACGCAAGCCTTATATTTGACGCTGTAACTTTTGAAAACACCATAAAACCTGTACATGAGGGGTACTGTTGTACTCGGGAGACTTCGCTGAACACAAATATTTGTGTTTCAAAACAGTAAAAAGTATTGCAGCAATAATATCATCCGTGTAAGTGCTGTTTGTGCGTGAAAAATGCAAAAAACTTCACTTTTACTGGCGATATCATTGTTGTAATACATTTTACTGTTTTGAAACACTAATATTTGTGTTCAGCGAAGTCTCCCGAGTAAAACAGTACCCCCAATTTACAGGTTTTATGGTGTCTTGGAAAGTTATAGGGTTAAATATAGTGCTAGCAAATTAAATTCCCTATACTTTCGGCATGGGTTGTCAGGCAGGTCCCGCTAATTGTAATTAATTAGGATACCTAATTATGTAAAAATATTACATAAATATATGTGTAGAATTAATATATGTATATATATACATATGTGTCTATATACATATATATATATAATTTTTTTAAATATTTTTATTTATATATAGGTGTATATATTTAGTGATATATATGTATATATTTATGTATATAGATATATATATTATTTCGTTCTACGTGTATTTTGATATAAATATATATATATTAATATCACAATACAGTTAGAACGAAATAACAAACATCTATATATTTTTTTATTATTTATTTTTAATTATTTTTTTAATTTTATTTTTTTTACGTATTTACATTTTTTTATATTATATATAAATATATATATATAACAATAATTATATATATATATATTTAATCAGTATTAGTCTACGTGTAATTTGATAGTTATATATATATAAATAATTATATATATTAATATTTAAATACACTTCGTGTATGTGTAAATGTGTGTGTGTGTGTGTGTGTGTGTGTGTATATATATATATATATATATACTTAGATCATATATATATAATATATATGATCTAAGTATATTTTATATGTAACTGTAATTTTTTTTTTTAACTAATATTTTTTTTTTTTTACAGGAGAGGGGCAGAGACAGTGTCAGCCAGTGATTTTACATTACTGGCTGACACACAGGATCAGTGATCACAGTGACTGCCTGTCACTGTGATCACCTCCTGCAGATTGGGTAATTGGCCACAGGGGGGAGTGCCTGGGTGGTACAAGCACTCCCCCCTTCCAATCTGCAGGGGGATCTGTGTGCCAGTTACATGTGTCAGCCAATAGGCTGACACATGTAACACTGATCGCAGTGACAGGCTGTCACTGCGATCAGAGCGCTCTGAGATCGCAGTGACAGCCTGTCACTGCGATCTCAGAGTGCAGATCGCGGTCACTGACCCCAGGGGGACTGCCTGGGGGGCCAGGTAAGTCCCCCGACCGCGATCTGCACGGGGTAGCCGCTGGCCACGTGTGTCAGCCGATTTGAAATCGGCTGACACACGTTAAAACACTGTCAGTGACTGCAGATCGCGGTCACCGGCCACAGGGGGGGTTGCCTGGGGGGCCGGGCATCCCCCCCGACCGCGATCTGCAGCGGGCGACTAGCGCCGGCCACATGGGCGGCCATTAAAGTGAGGGCGTACTATTACGCCCGCCGGCGTTTAGAGCCGGCTCCTGCAGGGTGTAATAGTACGCCCTCCGTCCTTAAGGGGTTAATTATTGTATTTGTTTATTTCTAAACACTTACTTGTTGTATACTTTTCAATATTTTTTCTTTTATTCTTTTTTTTATTTTTTTATTATTGCCTTTTGTGTATAGTAAGCTATTTAAGTGATTCAAATGTAACGGAGCTCCTTGTACCCCAGCTGGGTACCTCCGCCAAGCTTGCTTCCAAGCAGCCACAGGGAAAAACCTGGAACGCTTCTGCCCCAGTTGCCGCAGCTTGACTGAAGTCCTTCTGGAGCTTTTCCACCTTAGAAAAGTATACAGTGATATAACTGTATAACAGTCTCACCCAAACACTAGCCGAAAATTAGTGAAGGGTGAAGTAGAACTGATTTTATTAAACTCAACACAGGTTTATATAGGAGTAATCACAACAGGAGGTCATCAAACAAAACAATACAAACCACTCCTTGAAGTCTTGGTGTCAGAATCAGGTCAAGAGTCCATAACTGAATTACCTGCCTGACACCAAGACCCATTGCCAAATAGCTATTGTATAATAAACAAACTATCTTCCTTTCAGTTTTACCTTTTATACACACAGATATGCTAAAACAATTATCTCCCATAGTACAAGAAAACTCCTAAAAACACAGATAATACTATACAGCAGATGAACAGGGTCTTTTGAACAATAGAACAACACCCTTCTGGGAAAACAACAAGGAAATGGGGTGTAGGTAGGAAAATAACTAATAAACAAATACATTACACAGCCTGTACCTATAATGGACACAGGGTGACTAAAACATAGGAGCAATCTGGGGGCTTACATAAAGTGTCTGTCTTCAGCCCCCAGTGATAGTGACTAATCTCTACACGTATACAAAAAAAAAGAAGAAACTAGAACATTTTAAAGCAAATGTATTACAATATGTAAGACCTGCCTTAACTTTGGATGTAAATCCTGAAAAAAATAGGTTTCTGTTGCATAGGGGATGAATCATTTAAATACCCTACTATGATGGTAGTGTGCCTCTTAGCTTCTCTTCCTGGTGGCAATTAAAGGCAACATCAGAATATTAAATGATTTTCAGTGCATTAGACTCATTTCTTTCTCACTTTTTTACAACTCACTATGTGTAAGACAAGT